CAAGGGGACTGTGTGACGACAAAAAAATAGGTGGACCGTGGATGGTAAGAACGCACAACGAAAGCAGCATAAGCATCCTTGAACGCAGCTTTGACTTGGTCGTAATTGCTCTGGTCTGCTGCAACCATCTCCACTCCCATCGCCGCCAGCTTCTTCGATTTCGCAGATTCCACGTTTCTGGTCACTCCACGAACAGCATACTTGCCGTCCTCCAGCAGATGCTTCACCACACTCCCACCCTGCTCCGTTCGCCAAATCGCCAAATAGCCAAGCAGCCAAATAGCCAAATAGCCAAATAGCATGACAAGTGTTTTCCTCATTGTTTCTCTAGTCCACAGTGCTTGCCAGTGGGCCCCGTTCGTTCTCTACAATTTGTAGCAGAGTCTGTAGAAGTCCCCCCCTTGAAGACTCACACCCCTCCCGCCCGCTCCCCCTTCTTTCACCGTTACCCTTCTTTCGATCCTCCTTGCACTTTTTCTTCCCCGTGGATACCGTTCCGTTAGGCCATATTCACACTATGGTAGGACTGTTTTGTGAATACTTGTGTGCGTAATTACGTCCAGATGCATCTACGAAATTCCTAGTGTGCTTCGTAGCCTCTTCCCCAATAACCATTATTTGGAATTAATTCTGGCCATAGTTACGTTCAGATCGCTCACCCAATAACCAGATATCGCAGAGCAAATGATGATTAAATTTCATTGAAAAAAAAAAACACAAAAGGGTATCAGCCAACAAGGGAAGGAAAAACTTCGATATACACAAAAAAGAGAAGAGAATGGGGCGGGGTGGGGGAGGGCCACACAGCCATATCCTTCAATTTCTCGTAAGCATCCATACCCTTCCTTCCTCCATTTCTCGGTGTTGTTGTTGTTGTTTTAAATTAATTAATTTTATTTTAAGCCCAACCAATTCAATCACCAGTGGGCAGGGTGGGGGAGAGCCACACAGCCATATCCTTCAATTTCTCGTAAGCATCCATATCCTTCCTTCCTCCATTTCTCGTTGTTTTTTATTTTATTTTATTTTTTATTTTTATTTTTTATTATTATTAATTTATTTTATTTTAAGCCCAACCAATTCAATCACCAGTCGAATCTGACAAAATGGGGATTGAACCCAAGACCTTTTGAATACCACTCGCGTGCCTTGCCTACTGAGCTAGGCCGCTGGATCTTGCGTGTGTGTTTCTTCCGTCTTGCACATATGTTATTGAAATTTATTCTGCTCTAAACAGAAGTCCAGCATCCGCTCCCGATGCATCGCCACCATCATCGTCATGCAAGAAGCTCTCTCTCTCTCTCTCTCTCTCTCTCTCTCTCTCTCTCTCTCTCTCTCTCTCTCTCTCTCTCTGTGTCTTTGTGGATTGACGAGGTGAACGAAATGCGACAGCCCGCAGGGAGTTGAAAAAACGACGAAGGACCAACGGGCGTACCGTAGCTCAGATGGTACACCCATGAACTGTTAAAAGGCAGACCTGAGTTCGAATCCATACTTAACAGTTATTACTGTAGACGCAGCGTATCTCAAGGCCATCGCAGAAGCGAAAAGGACAGAAGACGACTTCAAAATAGGAACATCAGGCAGAGGAGGACAACGACGGCAACGTCGGAGCAGAAGAAGGAAGAGAAGATGAAGGCCATGGCTGACGAACAAGCTCAGAGCAATCACCTGAGCGCCAGTGGCGCCGAAGACGACGACGATGTGCTTCTTCTCCGCCGCCATAGCTGAGGACCTAGCACTTTTTCTCTTCCCTCTCGATGCCGCTACAGAGGATTCCTGTGCCGTTCTGCTGCGCGTATAGAACGCTACGAACACTTCTCCTACTGCTTGAGAGATCAACGTACCCTTCTCCTACTACCGGTAGTACTTCGTATGGAGTGCTTTTTTACGCAGCACCACTTACGGGTTCTCGCTCCGCCCAGGACGGCTGCGTGTTGTTGTGGACTGTTGACTGAGCTCAGGGGTCACTGAGCTGAAAAAAAATATTGCCTGGCCTCCTCGGAATTTCGAGTAAAAGAGATCAACTGGAAGTCAATGAACTCGCCTTCGGGATATCCCTTAACATTGGACCGATACAGAAAAGATTGATTAGCACTGCCCCTGCACAAGGATGGCACGTATACCAATCGATAGACAAATGGAAAATAAGGGCAAGTGACTGACATACCGCGAGGTGCGCGCTCGCGGCCCCGAGGAATAGAAGTCAACCAGACGGGGATGAGGAACTCAGGGCGTAAAGGCCAGCAGGGCCCAGTTGAAGCCCATTCGAGGTTCTACGCTGTGGTTTCTCAGCCTTCCTGGCCTTTCTGTAGGACGTTTCGTATTTGGGGCCTACCTTTCCAGTGTCCTGGCCAAACCTCTGAGTCAAATAGACTCACGTAGAAACGCCACTAGCATAGTGGCAAGGAGAAGCCAAGAGTCAAAGGTCAAAATGCCTCTCTCCCTGCCCTTCTTCACCCGACTTATAAAGTGAGATTTGACCAAAAAAAAAAAGAGAAAAAAAAAGACATGGGCCAAAAAAAAAAAAAAGAAAAAAAAAAGACATGGGCCACCTGGCCAGGAAACAGGAAAGGTTGCAAATGCCAAAGTAGATACTCAGCAGACCCGGTTGAGCTTGACTCTAGTTCTACTCTGTTAAATGTCTTGAGAGAGAAAGGAAAAGGGGGGAAAGGCGGCGCTGCGATGGAATAGCGGTACTGGAAACGGTAGTACCTAGGCCGGAAATCCCGAGGAAGGGAGTTTGACCCTTTCTCACCATAGATGGTCTATGGCGTATGCCTACTGTGGAATATCGGAGCCTAGGATGGTTTCCCCCCTTGCAGCCTATCTGGGACGGTTCCTCTGCTGCCTCGATGGTGAAGTTGCGAAGTATACCAACGTCGACACACATGCGGTTTGACTTGGTTTTCTAGCAAGCAAACAGTGAATGGCGACAAGATATGATGCGGGTATAACTTCTTTCCCAATTACCGCTGCCCTGGGTGAAGGAAAAATACTAACTGATCTACGACTATATCCCTATTTATGTGTGGAAGTTTTTATCTATTCGATCCTAATTACCTTTAGGCATAGATTAACTAGAACTAATCGATGGCGGCCACAAAGCCGTCTACTTCCATATCCTTGGAGGAGAAAACACGAATCCATGACTTGATCTCCCAATGTTTTCTGGATGGGATTCTCCTTCCTCATCTCGCCCCTTCAAAAGTAGAAGTGGGCGAAGACAACATGAAGGTAACCATCAACCCGGACATATATAAGATCCAGGCAGAATGGTTACGAGAACACGCAGTCACTATTATGTTTGGAGATTAATCTTTGACGATACCCACCGACATTACAAAACGCTTCGTCAGAGTATATGAGTCGGGTTGGGCAACTGTTTCTCTACTTTCTACTCCCGCTAAGTGTGGTCTCTTCCATAACCAAGGAAGGAACATGATAACATATATCGCTCCTTCTAAGAAATTTGCATAGCGGATGCTCCGTTGTGCTCAGATTGAGATCGAACTCGACGCGGGTGTCATTCACAAGGTCTGCTTCAGCCCGTGGATGACCGAAAATGAATTGTGGGAATGGCAGGAAGTGACAAAACACCACTTCTTTTGGATCCGAGTAGAACAGGTCCCGATAGGGGTCTTACCAAGTATCCCTGAGGTTATCCGTGATGCATATGGAAGTTTTTTTTATAAAAGAATATCCAGCTTTCAAAGATAAATTAAGTTCATAATTGATGAATATCCGCTTTGACTTAGAATCAGCGGTCAGACTGCCCTACAATAAATACCTAGTCGTTGATTTGGGCCAGGACGAATATGTCGAGCTTGAGGTTGTAAATGTCGATACTCCGTGGTGCCCTCTCTGCTGACGCCACTTTCACTCGGAGGATGATAAGGAATGTCCCTCCCGTAAGGAGAAATCGTATGCTAGAGCAATCAAAACTAAGGAAGGTGAAAAAGACAAAGGAGGGAATTGAGATACTAAGGAAGATAATAAATTGAGAAATCGAAAGGAAAGGGAAAAAAAAAGGGAAGATGGTACGAACAAAAGAGCAAGGAAGTGAAAAAGAAGAAGGACAAAAAGAATATACACAAAGGAAAGATTCAAGAGGAAAAAAGAGTGGAGGATGAGAACTTGGGGTCAGCAGGAAAGAAGGAAAAGAGCAAGGGGGAAACGAAAAAGGGAAAAGAGAATAAAACGAGTGAAGGAGATGACGCAGTTGTACGTGTTGACTTAGACTGTGAGATGACAACATTCGATGGGGAAAAAACCTACTCACCGACAAAAGAATTCAAAGGTGCTGAACTGACAGATAAGAGAGAAAATAAATCAGAAACAAAAAAGAAGCATGGACTCCCTAGAGCCTTCAAAATAATATTAAGAAGAAAATCCTTAATTTGAAGTAAAAGGTAACGAGATTGTGCTGCACGAGAAAACACTCTCCCTTAACCAGGGCGTTCGCATATCCTCAGACTCCTCCTCGAAGGAGGATTAGGACGAGGATGATCCCTCTTAAGGGATGAATGCTCATCTCCACCATATTGAGAATGAAGCCTATAAAGACGAAAGAGACTATGATTCAGACTCGGGAGTGAAGGCACTATATTATCTAAAAGATACTAAACTTGACAATTCTCGTTTAAGCAAAGTGTCAAATTCAGAACAGGAAGACTTCATATCAATTACGAGTCAATCGGCCACTCCAAAAGCAGGAAAAAACTCAATGCACAAGGAGAATGAATTTTCCTTTCCCCTTAGGTCATTCCCCTATAAAAAACGAAGAGCAACTAAAGCTAAACAACGACTGCCATAGGGGAAATACCTCTCTCCCACCTCTAGCCCCTTATTAACAAATAAAAAGATTATGAAACAGGGAAGGAATGTTTCCACAAAGCACTCGTTGAAGAAGTCTGTTGCAATGGAGACTCTTTCGCGCCAAGATAGAGCACAGAGACCACCAAAGGAATTTTTAATTCCTTTAGTGATCACCCCGTCCTTACATGACACGATGATACCAACTCATACAAGAGATGATGAGACGTTATCTTTCCCTACAGTCTCTACCTCATTATGACTTAGTACAACAAAAAAGTAGATCTTGCAAGACTGTGACTCTTGTTAGGTCCTATCAGCCCCAAAACGGGGTAGGCACATTGTCACCAACAATAAGGGATCAAAATCGATCTTTCACATAGCCTGCCTAAAGTTACTTGCAACACCGTAAAAAATGGGGAATCTGAAATCTCGGAAGACCTATTAGCTCCCTTAGCTCGATTGCTTGACACAAACTCAGACTCACTACAGGACATAGCTCTTACAGAAGGCATTTCTGCACATGACATTGTTGATAGGCTATACCAACCTTACCAGGTTCATACACCAAGTGGTGGTCATGCAAATAAGATGAACATGGAGAAACCTAAAGCCTCTCCTACTAAAAAAGAAACCCCCTGCCCGAAAGTGAGAGAGACTGCACTGAAGAGAAATCCACCAGGCCGAATCCAGATCCTACGCGACAGAGGTACATAAAATGGTTCTATCAAGTAGAATCAGATTCTTGACCTAGACGTTCGGGGGTTTGGTGACACTGGGGAAAGATAAAAAAATTGAGCAATAGCTACATCAACAGAATGTCCAAGTTGTCTGCATTTAGGAAACAAAGATGAACTTTGCTTAAATCTCAAGGATACAAAACTGGTGGGATGACCCACAATTTTGATCTCCTACATATAGAACCAAAGGCGGTATGACCATTTTGGTTAATAAAGATCTAGAGTCCTAGACTTCGACATACTAGACTACTATAGTGCAGACGACAAGGGTCAGTGGGTATGGATTAAATTTGCTATTGACAACGAAGACTTGGCTTTTATGGCGGTATATGCCCCAGTCCGAGGACTTGAAATCTTAGATTGTTATAAACGTAAGTTCTTCGTCCTCCCAAACCTCCTTTGATTTTCTTTGGACTAACTCGGTGGTTACTTTTCACCCTTTATCCGTTCTGATCTTAGTTCCCTGGAGGTCTCATTCACCTTGCCCTTCATCAATTCGTTCCGACAATAGTGCCTTGTCATAGATAAATTGATGTCGCTTGATGATATTAATCGTCTTTTCATCATCTTTCATACCATTACTCCCGACGAAGAGGGACACGTTATCTATTAGTTGTGTCCCTTTCACAAACTCAAAGACTAAGTACGAAAGTGTATTCATTATAGGCGCAAATAATGCAGGCCAAATGAGGGTTTGTACTCTTACTCCTTGGACTACCTATTTTCTGTCTATTTTTTAGGCGATCAGCCGCCATAACATAAGTGTTATGAAGCTCAAAAACAATCATACAACGAATATCCTCAAAATCAATGGTCAACCAGTTTTCATATCCATTCTTCACGGAGAGTATGCTTCTCTCTTTCTCCTCATAGTATTTTAGCATCCACTTTAAACTAGTACTTTTATGATAGAATCGTGGAGTAAGCGACTAAATATCTTTTTAATATCGAAGGAAACAGAAAGTAGGTACCGATTATTCTTCTTTTCAAACAAGTTGTTTACTTCTATGACCTTTCTCAACAGCAGATTCACTGATTTAAGATTAAAATGCATACTTCCTGACAACATTAATAAAAGATGATTCAACGCGCGTACTATTCGACTACTAGCTGTTCTCGACGGTTTCGAGAAGGACTGACTGATTGGTCGAAACTTAGATAAATCCTTATTCTTAGGAATTATATAGGCTCGTTCGCATTTCCCGCACCATCCTATTTTCCTAGTTTAAGTAAGTCTTTATCCTTAAATTCGTTTTTGCATTTAATCAAGTTTTTTGCCTCAAAAATTTCTATATGGCACAAAAACTCTTACTTCCAAAATAAACATCTTGCATCCCTTTAGCGTAGATTTCAAGACAAATAATTACAGTTTCAACTGGATTTTTATCCGCTGTTGTTTGTACGAAAAATACTTCTCCAATTTTTCAAGGAAGGACATGAAGCTCTGATCGAAGTTGCTCAAGTAAGGTTTTCTTTTCAAGCAATTGGATACGTCATTCTTCGGTAGTAAAATATCTACTCCCATCTTGGTTTGTGCATCGTTCAACT